GCAAGGTAAGCATAACAATAAAGAATCTTAATAGGATGTATAAGAATATGTTATTATCTGCAAGGTAAGCATAACAAAATCTAACCTAGATCGATCATCTGATCTAGAGAACAATGTGTTGTTGTTTTGCAATTAAATTTACGCGTAAAACTCCAATATCGAGATTTTCTGCTTAAACATTTGTATAGTTACTTTTTATTAAATTCAGAAAAAAATATGATTGACTATTAAATATTACCGTTTGCCAGTTTTATATGTTATGAAGTGACGGTTGTTCTTAAATAAATAGGTTAAATATTTTTAAAAGACTGTGGGTTGGATATTTCGCTAGTGTCCGTTTACGCTATAGATGGATCATACGCATTATTATAATAAATCGGTATGCCAACAATTCTTGGGGGTTCAATCTTAAAAATAAATAATTAGGGTTATACTAGCTCTCAACCCCGGGCGATGCCCCGGGAGCGCAGATTCAATTTTTTCTAGCTTTTAAGTTCTTAAATTTTTGTTTTCTAGCTCTCAGGCCCAGGCGATGTTCCGGAGGCTAGTCTTTCTATACATCGTTTGCACAATTGAACATACCATCTTGGTGTTCTTATAATAAACCCAGGTCGTAATCCATGACAGATCATTGCTGCTAATTCAGCATCAAAATTGCAACCATCGAAAAGTTTTTGGCCAGTTAATATTTCTATCATAATAATTCCCAAAATTGTTAATATCAGTAACTTGAGTGAAATGTTTACCTTTCAAGACCTCAGGACCCGAATTGGGTTCAAGTGAATCTGTCTTAGATTCACTTTTGTACATGGATTTGGTTGAATTAAACCTGATTTGGGTTTATTTGAACATGGATTGGGTTCAAGTGAACCTGATTTGTGTTTATTTGAGCCTGGGTTTGGTTGAAGTGAACCTGATTTGGGTTCACTTGGACCTGAATTGGATTCAAATGAACCCAATTTTGGTTTGTTTGAATTTTTTTTTTCATATATTATTTAATTTTTTTATTTTTTTATTATATTTTTTATTATTTTTATTATTTTATTTATTATTATATTTTTTTTAGTATAGATATAATGAGATAAAATCGAATTCATCACATGACAAAATCGAATTTATCACTTTTGTGTCATGAGAAATGTGATAAAATCAAATTTATCATGTGATAAATTCGATTTTGTTACATGACTAATTTAATTTTATCATATTGAGTGAAACTCAAAGTCGAAGGTTATACAAAGCAAAGAAGGTTCATGGTGTCAAGAGTGGGTGGGTGGGGGTGGGTGGACGGGTCAATCTATATAATTAAAACACAAATGTCTGCAACCAAGTGGCTGTATCCAAATCATTGTCAACCTAGTTGAACATAATTATTATACAACCCAGTTGAATATAAGTTTCCTTGTGATATTACAAAATTGATGCCACTATAATCAAACTGCGAAGCTTTTTAATGAAGTGGCAAAGCGATCATTATTGTGGGATCAGAGGACATAGATCATGTATCATTTATTGTCACAGATCATAATGAAATCTGATCAAAATAAAACTGGGGACCTCTCATGCCCACCCTTAGAGCCTATAAAATCCACATATACTCATTTATTAATAAACCTGCCTCTAAACTCTAATCATAACTCCAAAAAACTGCCAAAAAATGCACTCCAAACATTTGTATTTTTCAGTAGCTTGTCTATTTTACACTATTACTCATTTCATTTTAATCTAATTTCATTTTAATCTGATTTCATTTTAATCTGCCACATTTCATATAGATTACAGAAATATACACTAAACCTTAACTGCTACTGTTATGGTGATCTGTAGATATATGACACTTATTTAGTAGCAGTATCTAATTTACAACCTTTAGCGATATTACAGTTTTTATTTAGTAAATAGGTTATTTAACTTGAAGATTCTTGTTCTTTACAAAGGTAAAATCACAATGTTTTTATAGCTTTTGCTACCCTAAGAGGATAAGAGGCTTTGTGCTAAAAGACGGTTTTGTTCTATTATTTTACAATGAGTTACAGCCACTAAACATTACATTCTATTTCCATTTTTAAGTTTGATTCTTCATTATAAATACCAGTTTCTCAGATGTTTGAGTTTTCATGCTTGTTTACCATAATTCAGCCAACATGCCACACAAGATATAATCAAAATCTTCACAGTTCGATCATAGTAGTGTCAATTATGTAATATCACAAGAAACTTATGTTTGAATAGGTTGTACAACTGTTTAAGCATAGCTATATAGTTGCAAACATTTGTGTTTTTATTATATATATAAGATTTATTATATAGATAGATAGACAAAGCGAGCGATAGTGACAACTATGCTCCTTAAATGACTACTATACTGGTCGAAAACATCCTCAACACCTACGCCCACTCTTCCACTCATTATTTGTGGCTTACAATCTCTTACAAACAAAAATTAACAATAAATAAAATAATAAAAATAATAAAAAATATAATAAAAAAATAAAAAAATTAAATAATATATGAAAAAAAAAAA